GGGGATACATGGCTGAGGTGGGTACAGTCAGAGAATCATACAGTCACAGAATCGCTTTGGTTGGAAAAGCCCTTCGAGTCCAACCGTTAACCTAGCACTGCCATCCCACCACTAAACCCTGTCCCTCAGCACCTCATCTACCCTTCTTTTAAATCCCCCCAGGGATGGGGACTCGACCACCTCCCTGGGCAGCCCCTTCCAGAGCCTGACAGCCCTTTCGGTGAAGAAATTTTTCCTAATGTCCAACCTAAACCTGCCCTGGCGCAACTTCAGACCGTTTCCCACAGCCCCACCGCCACGGCTGGGCAACCGTGAGGGGAAGGTCCCCGAAAAGCCCCTGTCTGGGTGCACCCCGGGGCCTCCCCGTACCCGCTGTGGGCAGCCATCGACAGCGGCTTGCAGGAGCCGGGGGGCTGCCCGGTGTTCCTTCTTTGAGGAGTAACATGACTTCAGATGAACCCAGGCCAGTCAGGGCGTGAGTCACTCCTGTACCCAGCAGCGTGTGCTTTTTGGAATATGCACAGTCATACCCTTCAGAGCCGCGTCTCGGAGCAGTCGTGAGCCTTAGTCATCACCAGGGTAGTGTCAGCGCGTTAGTCAGAGCCTATCTTTGACTTCTTCGGCGAGAACTTGTGGAGAAGTGAGGCGCGGCAGCGTTACAGCGGCTGCGTTTCTGCTAGAGGGGTAGGGCTCTGAAGGTACCGAGGACAAGATTCCTGAAAGGTTTCTGTATGACCCACTGATGCCTTCCTGCCCACTCAAATTCAGGTGGCCACCTTTCTTTCCTCAGCTGTGATACGCAAGTGTAAAACTTGGGAGATAAAAGTTTCACTTACACATGTGAAAAATACTGTTAGCCTATTTCGTAAGGGATTTTAGATTCTATATTAGAAACTTAATTATGTTTGGAGAGCACACCGATGTTTCTCAGTTTTGTTCCCGTTTTCCAGGGTTTGAGGCAGTCTGCAGGTGGCACCGTTGTCTCACGTTCGCGGCCATCGTGCGCCTCCTGAACTGACTGCTGGAAATGAGCTCTCGCCGTCAGATTTTTAAGGCAAAATGGAGTGCCTTATGCCTCAGTCTTAAATTTACTAATTACATGGAAACTTGTAATTTCACTTAATGAATCAGGCCAAATAAAAATGGCACTAATTTGTTTAATTGCTTTAAAAAGGAAGGATGAATCCATTTGTACAGAAATGCAATAAACACTAATGTTGTCTGCCTGAAAGAGAAAATTGTAATGAGTTCTGTATAATTCAAGACAATGAGCTTTCTCTTTTATTAACTTCAGCTCCCTTCCCCTCTGCGGTATCGCATGTGGTGCAATAACCACAGCAGCTGCACATGCAAATAAAGGGACAGCTTC